CCCCGCCGGCCACCGGCCCTTCACTGCATTTGAATTTTTGTCAAGAATAGTTAGCAAGGTCAGATAAAATCATGCAAATAGTCATGTACATGTAGCTTACAGTCCCATCATGCTGAGTGGCACTCATTGTGAGACATAGGAGAGTGTAGAACGATAATAAATGTCAGGAGGCGTGGGTGCGAGGGAGAAATTGCAAAACGGTTGCATGCACGCTGCAGCACAGCTAGCAAGCGAAAGAAGCTGTGGATGGGTTCGTTCCTATTTTTTGATGGCTGTGGCCATCCGTGGACCCAACGGTATTCGTGTGAGTACGGCGTTTGTTTGTGCTGCCAGCTCGGGCCCGGTGCGCGAATGAAACCGAACTTTGAAAAATGGCTCTCGCTCTTTAGTCCGATTGTCAGTATTGACTGGCTTTTCATACAATGCCTATTGATGTCTAGAGACATGCTGTCTCGCCTTCCCCTGGTACACATTACACGGGGCTTTGTTGAAGTTCGTACCATGAACTGCCAAAGGGAAATGTTTGAATGGTGCTGGGGCAGCTGCCATATTACAGATTCCCTGTAGCCGGCCTAATCGCGTTTGTCGCCACAACCGATTTTGTAACAGCGTGCCGACGTATCTTTTTGTACCCTTTTTTCAAATTTCGAATTTTGTGGCACTGCACTCTGTACGATAAAATCTAGAAAAGTCGCCAAACACGGGAGATCACCAGAGCCAGCGCTCATCTTTTTTTTATGAATGTACTGTATACAGCACGAGATACGGTAGCCCGCAAGTACCAATAGCGCAGCGACACCGTGCAAGTACAAATAGCGCAGCGACAACATTGGTGTGTGTCTTTGTAGTTACTGTGAGAATGTTAGTGGCAAATGGACAAAAATGCGTATGGGGACTGTGTGTGTGGACACGATGAGGCATGCGGAGCATCAAAGGATAAGGACAAAATGTTACAAGTTATGACTAACGGTCCACCAACGTAACACCAGACCATATACTGTCAGCATTTGTCCTTCTCCTTTTTTTACCATAATTAAATTGCCTCACCATCCAAGTATCATTTGAAAAAAGTGAGTGCTACAACTTTTTATTATGTTTGTTTTAAACTTCACTTCTCAACTCCAAAAACGGTCTCTTCACTATTCAAAATTAAAATTGACATTACACAATCATTACACCATAGGTGTATAATGTTAATTTTAATTTTGGTTTGAATCGCAGTGAAGAGACCGTTTTTGGAGTTGAGAAGTGAAGTTTAAATATGTAAGTGGCTGTGTTGGAGTTTGCAGGCAATTAGAAAAATTGTTTGTTTTAGAGACTATCTGCTGTGGCTATTGTGACGAGCTTCCACTGATGATAGTCACTAGATACCATAGCAATACTGGTTACCATAGAAACCTCTGAGACTTCACAATGCCGAGTCAGCGCAGGCATAAAGGTGATGGAGCACCTCAGCACTCCAGAAACGTCTGGCAGAGCATGAGCGACTGTTGTAGTCCCAACTGATTTCTGGTTGTGGATCCAGTTTCCCTTTGTTCCCTCCGTGATGCAGACTCCTCTGATCCATGATGCACACGCTCCTCCGACTTCTGGCTACTTAAGTAAAAAACGCACCCTCGCACGTATCAACGAGCATTATTTCTGGCCAGGAATGAAAGCAGCCATCGACCGCTATTGTACTCTATGCCTGGAATGCCAACAGAACAAGCACAAGAATCCTGTTGCACGTGCTCCTCTTCATCACATCACAGCTACACGCCCGTATCACATCATCGCTATCGACTTCATGGGTCCTCTACCTCGTTCAAATAGTGGTAATCTTTTCATCATGGCTGTTATCAATTACTTCACCAAATGGTTAGAGTTGTTCCCGCTCCGTAATATCCAAGCCACTACAGTTGCCAATACACTCACTACACACATCATCTCTTGCTATGGAGTACCTGAGCAAATCCACTCCGACCAAGGTTCTCAGTTTGAATCCGACCTATTCCAGGATCTATGCAGGACGCTCCACATCAACAAAACACGCACCACTCCGTATCATCCTCAATGTGACGGTCTCGTCGAACGATCCAATCGCACGGTCCAGAACATTATCAAAGCTTACACGAACAATACGCAATCCAACTGGGATAAACATCTTCGTACCACGATGCTCGCTCCACTCAACGACTGGTTTCACACCATACTTCCTCATGTTTGGCCGTGAAGCTACGTTGCCACTACACCTCATGTACCCACTTCCACAACCACATGCACCACAGCCAATCACAACGTTCTTCACTGATCTCCAAGCCCGCCTTCAGACATCCTTTGACACCGTTCGTCAACACACCGATCAACACCACAGGTACTCCAAGGACCGCTACGATCGGAAGGCCACAGCTTCCCAGTTCAAAAAGCAGGATTTTGTTTGGTTACATGCTCACCCACCACCTCACGTCTCACCGGAACTCCTCAAACACTGGACAGGCCCCTGGAAAATCATTGAGTGTCCCTGCCTTGTTAACGTAGTATTCTACATGTGTGTAAACTGACTATGATACATGAACCTAATGTTAGCATCCTGACGTCTTTCACTGTACTTTACAAATCTCTCGGTTATACTCGCTTTACGTAATTCCCCACTCTATAGCTCGTTCTTCCATTCGTCTGTCTTAATTGTCTTCCGAGTATTTTCCACGACACTATTCTACCACCGTTTCTCTTACACACATTCAAAGGCGATTTCTAGTAGTTATGCATGACGCGCCTCGTTGTTTCTGATACTTCTTGGAACTCTTATCGCTGGCTATAAAACCGTTTGCTTTGTCTTGTTCAGTTCAGTTCAGTTCGGTTCAGTTCGTACCACGTTGCACATTTTTCGGCAAGCACCATGCACTTTGTGGTGGGTTCACTCAAGTTTCTACGTTTCTAACGTTACGTGTTGTAGCGAAGGTAGCTGTCATCCCTACCTGTACCTGAGCAATGCATTGTACTTCACGTGCATACAGCACACCACATACCTTTAGGTGTAGTAACTGGTGATCCAGTGGCGAGCAGGGGACTGCCAGTCAAAGCCCCAACCATCGCCATGACAGCGACAAGGAGGCTCAAAGAACCCTAGAAGCAACACACAGAGAGAATGAGGTGAGATTTGTGGGATTTCTACTTTTTTTAAAGTATTCTAGCTTTACAGTAGAACAGTTTCAATTCAGCAACATACTTGGTAGCAGACAGCAACATACTTGGCAGCATACTTGGCAGCAGACAGCAACATACTTGGCAGCATACTTGGTAGCATACTTGGCAGCATACTTGGCAGCATACTTGGCAGCATACTTGGCAGCATACTTGGCAGCATACTTGGCAGCATACTTGGCAGCATACTTGGCAGCATACTTGGCAGCATACTTGGCAGCATACTTGGCAGCATACTTGGCAGCAGACATATTCTCATGATCATTCACATGGGATCAAGTACATTCGATCTCATCTCCAAGGCCAAACAACCTTTACTACGAGCTAACTGATACTATTGATCTCTTTAGGAGGACCCACTCAAGCAAGCTCCTACCTTCCGAGCAAGCTGATGATGATGTCCTTTGTGGTAGGCTAACTGTGTCTAAAGCGAAACCTGATTTTTTTGTGGGTCATTTATTCCCAACACAAGAGGTATCCTGTTTGCTTATGTAAATCATGATTCATGTGCTTCTTGCTTCAGTATTATTATGGCAATGTTTACTCTTCTTACTTTGAAGTACATGATTTTCATTATTGTCAGCCATCTATTTCACTACCATGTACATGTAGATCCGAGTTGCGAAAGCTGATCATGGCTTTCGAATCCCTTCCAATGCTCCTTGATCTAAGAGTCTGTATCGGTTGGAAACATCCTGCAAGAATTCTGAACGGCCTAGAATTATCAATGTGTCATCGTCGAGGGAGTCCAGTTGAGCACGAACAGAGAAAATAATTCATACGTTCCCTTCCTCAACCGCTTGCAGCGCATGCATGTGAAATGGGTGAACGCCTTCACCAATCTCTGGTTGCCATAGATACTATTACTATTGACCCTCTATTAGTACATTGCCTACATGCATTGGACAGCGGCTGAAAGTTAGAAAGTAAGTTGTGGTGATTCCCATTCCAGTCATCAGTCTGTCTTTGTACCTCATAATAGTTATTATCAGAGACGGTGCAGATACCATGCTACACTGAAGGTAAGTATGGGGGCTGCATTATCATTATTATTATTATTATTACAAAAAAATGTATTATCTACGCATGCATCTACGCAAGATTCACCACCAGCCAATTAGGACATGTGTCAAAGTATTGAACGTTTTCGTTCCCTTCTTGTCAAAATACTACAGGGAATGATGGAAATAAGCTAAAAGACTACAACTATAAGGAAAATAAGTTCAGAAACATATCACTCCAATTATGTGTAGAAGTGACACGAAAAAATAGATGTGAAGAAAAAGTTTCTGAACTTATTTTCCTTATGAAGAAAAAGTAAGAAAAAGTTTCTGAACTTATTTTCCTTATAGTTGTAGTCTTTTAGCTTATTTCCATCATTCCCTGTAGTATTTTGACAAGAAGGGAACGAAAACGTTCAATACTTTGACACATGTCCTAATTGGCTGGTGGTGAATCTTGCGTAGATGCATGCGTAGATAATACATTTTTTGTAATATTTTCTGCCTCCGTCCTGCTTTCAAATTATTATTATTATTATTATTATTATTATTATTATTATTATTTTTTTTTTTTTTTTTTTTTTTTTTTTTTTTTTTTTTAATGGAGTGCAAGCCTCTTTTACGGGCAAAAATTAACACATTATTATTATTATTATTATTATTATTATTGTAAAAGAGAAAAGGACATATGGATACGAGTTAAGAGTAACTCTCCATCACTGTAACATGATACTATATACAGTCAGAAAGTGCAATAACTAGGCACAAAACTGACAGAGTACTGAGACATTCGACGTCCTGACACCTAACTTCAACACATCTCCGTAGCGCTAACCGACAGCCTTCCAACTTGGAAGGTTCAAGGTTGTGGAAAGACCAAAGAGGGGAAGGCAAGCGCAACGAAAACGAGCAAAAGCTACAGTCCCAACGGAACAAAGAATGTCGATTGTTACTGGACGATGACGAGACCAGTACGATATTTGACAAAGCGGTCTAACTACAATTCGAAGCAGCAAAGCAGCACACCACCCAACTTGGGTGGGTCATAAATATCAAAGATAAGTAAAGAAAGGGAAGCTTTGCGAAAACGAATTGTACAAGCCGAAAGCCAAACTCCTACAGTACTCCTCATGCATGACATTGTGATGGACTAGTTGACTACAAAACAAGTTGTTTCACACGACGTACGTTTCGCCGTATGGTTCGTGACGGCTCATCAGGTGTGCAATTTGAAACTCGGATGTTGAGCCATAAATAAATGTAAAAGAGAAAAGGACATATGGATACGAGTTAAGAGTAACTCTCCATCACTGTAACATGATACTATATACAGTCAGAAAGTGCAATAACTAGGCACAAAACTGACAGAGTACTGAGACATTCGACGTCCTGACACCTAACTTCAACACATCTCCGTAGCGCTAACCGACAGCCTTCCAACTTGGAAGGTTCAAGGTTGTGGAAAGACCAAAGAGGGGAAGGCAAGCGCAACGAAAACGAGCAAAAGCTACAGTCCCAACGGAACAAAGAATGTCGATTGTTACTGGACGATGACGAGACCAGTACGATATTTGACAAAGCGGTCTAACTACAATTCGAAGCAGCAAAGCAGCACACCACCCAACTTGGGTGGGTCATAAATATCAAAGATAAGTAAAGAAAGGGAAGCTTTGCGAAAACGAATTGTACAAGCCGAAAGCCAAACTCCTACAGTACTCCTCATGCATGACATTGTGATGGACTAGTTGACTACAAAACAAGTTGTTTCACACGACGTACGTTTCGCCGTATGGTTCGTGACGGCTCATCAGGTGTGCAATTTGAAACTCGGATGTTGAGCCATAAATAAATGTAAAAGAGAAAAGGACATATGGATACGAGTTAAGAGTAACTCTCCATCACTGTAACATGATACTATATACAGTCAGAAAGTGCAATAACTAGGCACAAAACTGACAGAGTACTGAGACATTCGACGTCCTGACACCTAACTTCAACACATCTCCGTAGCGCTAACCGACAGCCTTCCAACTTGGAAGGTTCAAGGTTGTGGAAAGACCAAAGAGGGGAAGGCAAGCGCAACGAAAACGAGCAAAAGCTACAGTCCCAACGGAACAAAGAATGTCGATTGTTACTGGACGATGACGAGACCAGTACGATATTTGACAAAGCGGTCTAACTACAATTCGAAGCAGCAAAGCAGCACACCACCCAACTTGGGTGGGTCATAAATATCAAAGATAAGTAAAGAAAGGGAAGCTTTGCGAAAACGAATTGTACAAGCCGAAAGCCAAACTCCTACAGTACTCCTCATGCATGACATTGTGATGGACTAGTTGACTACAAAACAAGTTGTTTCACACGACGTACGTTTCGCCGTATGGTTCGTGACGGCTCATCAGGTGTGCAATTTGAAACTCGGATGTTGAGCCATAAATAAATGTAAAAGAGAAAAGGACATATGGATACGAGTTAAGAGTAACTCTCCATCACTGTAACATGATACTATATACAGTCAGAAAGTGCAATAACTAGGCACAAAACTGACAGAGTACTGAGACATTCGACGTCCTGACACCTAACTTCAACACATCTCCGTAGCGCTAACCGACAGCCTTCCAACTTGGAAGGTTCAAGGTTGTGGAAAGACCAAAGAGGGGAAGGCAAGCGCAACGAAAACGAGCAAAAGCTACAGTCCCAACGGAACTTCCAAGTTGGAAGGCTGTCGGTTAGCGCTACGGAGATGTGTTGAAGTTAGGTGTCAGGACGTCGAATGTCTCAGTACTCTGTCAGTTTTGTGCCTAGTTATTGCACTTTCTGACTGTATATAGTATCATGTTACAGTGATGGAGAGTTACTCTTAACTCGTATCCATATGTCCTTTTCTCTTTTACATTTATTTATGGCTCAACATCCGAGTTTCAAATTATTATTATTATTATTATTATTATTATTCAAAGGATCAGTCGGGGAAGTGAACTGCCTGAAAAGAGAAAAAAACGCCAGACCCACCAGGACTCGAACCTGGGACCCTGCTTGTCATGAGCAATGCTCTAACCACTGAGCTATGGGACCAGGCTGAACCTAGAAGGCGCTTACAAGTTTTTCACTCCAAAGGCAGCTCACGACACGTGCCACACATACTGATGGCACTTGGGTCTTTTTCCCTCCCCCAGGGGACCAACCACGGTCAGTTTCTGGAAACTACCAGAGGTGAAAGAAAGTGATTAAATTTGGAAAGGATTGGGAGAACTTCATATTCAACGTCAGCGCCTTCTAGGTTCAGCCTGGTCCCATAGCTCAGTGGTTAGAGCATTGCTCATGACAAGCAGGGTCCCAGATTCGAGTCCTGGTGGGTCTGGCGTTTTTTTCTCTTTTCAGGCAGTTCACTAGCGATGTCAGAGTGCCGTGCCACGTGACCTCCACGCTTGTCGCTGGATTCCCTAGCAACCAGCTGAAATGATGGCACAAAAGGTCAGTACGGCAGAATGCCAGTCGCGGCCAGAGCGTGCAGTACTTGGCACGCGGGATATTCAAATGTGACCTGAAGACGTCAGTGACAAGCTTGGTCGTGACTATTGCCACGAAAATAGAAGATGAACTTTCGTATCCGCGTTTGTGCGGGCGCGCTGCGCCTACGGAGCTGGGAGTATGGCCGCCGACAAGTTAGCGTATGTTCAGTCGCCTTTTTCATCTCTTGCGCTGCCTGATACGCGTTTGATTTTAGTTCCATCGTGTTCCCCGTCGTCCAATTTAGTTTGCTGCCAAGTTTCACCGGCGTATCACGCCGCGCACCAGACTTGTAGTATTTTTCGCGACAGGTACTCCATTGCTGGATACACCGCCATCATGAGTGTTCGTCCAGCAAAGGGACTGGCGGTGAAGATGTTTTGTCGAGTCTTGGACTCAAGGAGGAGCAGTTATTGCAGGATAAGCCCCTGCCTGGCATGATCGGAAACGTTTCAAATGCATTGGTGTTAGAACTGATGAAGTTCAAAGCGGACCACCACCAGGATCATAATCTACTTGTCGAACTCTTCTTGTCTTGGAGAATGGTCAAATCACAACTCATACTTCGGCTACTCTTCAACAGTCTTCTTGAATTTCTCCAACAGTTTGCAGCAACAAAAAAAAACAAACAGTACAGCTACGGTATGTACATTTTGTACAGTGCGCAAGATTATTCATGAGCCGCGATCCCTGTTGTCAAGACCGATTTTGTGCCGTGGTGAGATCTGGTTTGTGTACAGTGCGGCATGGTGCTTTTCGACAATGGCGGCGCTTACCCCGCGCACTCTAAACTGGAATAAGTCCACTATATTTGCTCCGATTTGCTTCAAACTTTGCCAGTATACTCTACTTGTCTTCAGGAATCGGATGGTATTACAATATTTGCCCGATTCTCAAAACAGAAATTTACCCTGACATCGCTAAGTTCACTTCCCCGACTGATCCTTTGAATATGAAGTTCTCCCAATCCTTTCCAAATTATTATTATTATTATTATTATAATTATCAAATTTTTGATAGGGCAATCCCCACAGGCCTAAGGCCTTCTTACAGGGTACCCTAGAAATGAAAGTACTGAATTACGGAATAGGCATCTTGTGACGTCAGGAAAAATTGGCAACAAAATTGAATATTTTTAGGGGTCAAAGGGGTGTACCGGGTACCCGGGTATCCGCCCGTTAATCTCAGGTACCGTTAGTAAAAGGGTACCCGTTTGGATTTCGATGATCCAGTCAGTACAGAACCACACTACTGGGACCGCGCATTCCAGGTGGGAGTCAATTATTTACACCCCCACGCTGGGTGTCTGCATTGTTGTTGCATTTTTGCACCTAGTAGATCTACCTCTGCAACTATCAGACACAAATCACTTCGCGAATCATAATGTGATATCAAAATGCAACCGAAAACAGATAAATTAAAATTAGGATTTAAGTGAAGATTGCGCAAAAATTAAACCTGGCTGCTAAAGGGTACCCGTTAACCCGCTCGTCAAGAAAATTACCCTTCGTTAGTTAAAGGTACACCTGTTTGACCCCTAAATATTTTCATAAATTTCATCCTGTGACGTCATGACTGTGCCAGTACCCCCCCCCCCCCCTCCGCCCCCTGCCCCCCCCCCCCTCCGCCCCCTTATACCGACTACAAAATACCCAGAGCTGAAGGAGCAACACCAGATGCTAGCCCAGCCATCACTATACACTGTACGTAGTTCATAATTATGATAGCAAGGAGATCATCAAAATGATGCAGTGCAAGGCACAAGCTGAAGTATTGGCATATCTTAGGGCTAAAATATTGTGTCTATGTGACTGGCATGTAGATTCTATGCCAGCATGCACCTGAACTGAAGTCAAGTCAGCGAGTTTCAACACGCATGATGCGCATCGATGCCCAGGCCCAGAAAAAGTACGCACAAGTGCGCGGTTCAAAGTTCATGAGTTCTATCAGAAACTTTCGAGCACTAGTATGAACGCCTGTCAGTTCTACGAGCGCCAGAAACACAACAATCTCTTTCTGCGAGTGACCAGTAATGGCAAAGACATCCACATCTGCAACCACCGGGACCAAAGAACATCGACTGCTTCTACCACAACCAGTATCTTGCAATGAACTGTACTGTGGCCGCTGCCATTATCAAGGAGAATTTGTACTTCTGCGACTTTGGGTATACAACAGCATGAGTAATAATAATATGTATGTTCGCCAAGAAAGCGTCAAAGAAAGCGTCCTCAGAGTCAAACGCATGCCTACAATCATGTAGTTCTTACCCGAAAGCACAGCGAGCGTCTCAGGAAGCAAGTCATTGACATTGACAAACACAGCAATGGGGCTTACCATTATTGTCCGTTTCCTTGGTCTTCAGAGAGGTTTTCTTCGTCCTTTCCTCTGTAGCTGCAGATCGGAAATGAACCAAGAACTAGGCCTAGTAGTAGTACTGATAATATTCTGGGCGTAAGCGCGCACCTTGTACTCCAGGGGTCTGTGACGCACTTCACTTGCGCTAGGACTGACCATGGTTGACCCGATGTCACGATGTGGACTGCCCTCGACCTGAGCACTCAGTGCCTCCTCCAGAGACTCGGTTGAACACGCTTTGTGATCATGTCCGACTGATGGCTATAAACGCTAGCTTTTAATTAGCTTTAGGCTACGTCTCCGTGCACCACAATGATTTCTGTGATCTGACAGTGAAGACGTGACCCATAATGTGAGCCCTGAAACTAATACTTACTTCGCTACCACTCACCGGTGAGACCCTGCGTCTTCGCACATGTGCGCACAGCGATCTCAGCCGACGGCGCTCGCCTAGCGCCTGGACGTTGCAGCATCTGCCACATGGGGTGGGCGTTTCGAGAAGACGTAACGTTCCTCGATATTCGCGTATCTAACCTGCATGCCCGTTCCAACCTCCAGCAGTTCTTCGTCATTTTGTGAAAGCTGGGACAACCCACTTGCCCAGGCAAGAAGGTAGCACTGCGTGTTCATTCCGGGGAAGTAAAATACCAACCAACCAATCACCAGCAGTCAATTCCTGCAACATACGTAAACACGAAGCCGAGAAGAGGCGCTAGGCCTCGTATGAGGAGCGAACCCGGAAAATCGAGCACGGGTCATTTGTGTCAGTAGTCTTGAGTGCATCAGGATGACTTGGTAAAGCGGCTACTGCGCTCTACAACAGAGTTGCCAGCATGCTTTCGGACAAGAGAAAAGAACCCTATTCCGCCGTTCTGGCCTGGACAAGGTCCTCCGCTCAGCAACTGCTAGCCTCCGTGGACATCGCGTCGCTCAACCGAAGTCCAACCGAGCTTTGGCTGACATTCCCGCTGTGCTAGCCACAACAGAAGTTCTGATGCTGTTTTAGGAAATCTACCCCAGAGTTGACCAGAACACCTTAGCTCTTTTGTGGAAGAGCCTACACGGTTGAGACATCCCAGTGCATCACGTAACTACTGACTCCGCAAATGACCAGAGAAACGCGCCCTCAGCAGCAGGACGGATTCAGACTTCCAGTTGCAAGAATGAACGCTGGCACGTCGAGGTATGCATTCAGCGCTACAGATAAAATGGAACAGATTACCAGGAGACGTCCGCTCCAGCACGACGCAGGAGACCATCAAAGCTGCAGCGGTACCTTACACAATCCGTCACTGACAGTGTCTGGAGTATTCCTTGCTCAGTACCTGCAACGGTAGTATCCCATGTTTGACATTGAATCCGTACTATTGCTCTCCAGCTGACTATTATTTCCAGTGCATCCAGACACATTTTACATACACCTCTTCCCTCTCTTATATCTCACCTCTTCGCTATCTTTGTTTTGGGGAGAAACACCCGTTTGGATTTGCGAAATAGAACAACATGTCAATCAAATCTGAAGCAGGAATTATCATACAATTGCAAATACGACACCAGATGCTTGAATACAGCAGATTTACGAGTACTCACAAACACTGCATGATCAACGGCAGGCTGCTGGGCACCCTAGTATTCCTCATCATTCCAAATCTGCTGTATTCAAGCATTATTTTGGTGTCGTGCTTGCAATTGTATGATGATTCCTGCTTCAGTGTGGTGTGCTACGCTAGTAGTTTTCGTCTACTCTCCGTATAAGAAGTCATGTTTATTCTTACTCGTCATCCAGGCTTATGCTAGCAGAAAGAATTCGTTACAGCACTCACACTCTTCACTTAACATACCAGTCAATGTTTCTTGTATTAGTTTTAGATCTAATAATGTTCACCTTATGGTACCATAATTATCTTTCCTTTGTTGTCCAACTATCATTGTGATGAAGATTTCTGATGATTATCACATGAACACGACGTTCAAAGCACAACATATTATTCCATTGTTCTCGTGGTATGAGTGCGCTCCTTTTCTTCCAACTAACACTTCTGCCCCTGGTAATGGTTTACCTCTCTCAGCTCGTCACCTGACCACAGTCACTGTCACCACCACGACACTGCCGTGAGAAGGTGCTCTCTAGCTCTCTAGACGCGAGGTTGGTGATGTCCCGACGCGGCCATGGTATGGGTAGGCCTTCACCACATCGGAACATCTTCTACACGTTGGTTGCCTCTAGTAGTGGCTCTACTGGTGCCACTACTGGCACTAGGAACCAAGCCGCCCGCTGCTGATGCTATCACGTAATCCAGCACCGCTCAACAAACAAACTTGAACTTAATCTGAACACCTGTTATAATATTATTACTTACTACATGTGCCTCAATTTAATCTAAACTTTTTGTTACAATTACATACCATGGTACATGCCTAAAAGTATTATACAAGCTGGAGTCACGTCTTACCTCCGGCGTCAACTGAGACAACTCAGCTACTGGCATCAATCGGAGTAGGTCGGAGCAAGCAATGCCTACATACAAGTGTGTGTAGGAGGAACTGCATGATTGTACTTGTGTACGTGTAGATCACGTACTGTATGTTGCGAGGTACACGTCAATCAAGACAACCGTTTTTTACTTCTCAATATGTCTCTTTTGGAAGCGGAGCACCCAACTTTCCTCAGATGGAACGCACTGGCTCGACGTTGTCGACAGATGCATGACCCTCATTTGATTTTCATATGAGCTATATGCGTGCTGTATTAGTATTATTATGCATGCAGTGTTGTGGAAGTAAACTAGTCACGTTCCCCAGGCCGCCGCCCTGAACCCTGGCCCCCCGTGCACATCAAGGGTAGATGTCGCATACATTTGCAGTGAAAGGATACACGAGTAAATCGAGAAGAAGTAGCGACGACCCGGCCATTATGGAATCCAATACACCACACCACCACATTGCGCTCTTGGCCGATCCAAACTCTGAACTCACATCATCACCATCACCACAGCGAGGGCAACTCCGGTATATGGATTGATATTGACAATGACCCTCCAGACAGCTGTTTCGCTCCTCCTGAGCTCATCAGTGGAGGCATAATTATGATGTTGAATGAAAGAATAATAAGAATAGACTGATCTTTATAGGGCTAAATTGGCGCAATTGCGCTCATTCTGCATAGAAACGAGGCATACACTAAGTGACAAAAGTGACAAAAGTAATAACAAGGTCAGGTGATAACGTCTTAACGACACGCGCTCATGTCTGCGACAGGAACATGTAGCACGTGTGAAAAGAGGGGAGCAAAAAAACCCAGCAGTCAGTCTAACACCAGAAAAGTTAGTTATTGCATGTGCCACAAAAACAAAGATACTGCGGCTGACTGCACTTGTCCCATAGTGACGTGACGGGGAACGAACGACGAAGCGAAATGTAAAGTACAAATCGTCTAAAAAAATTGAAGTTCAGTCAGTCACGTACATATTATTAGGTGTATTCATCGCGCGTTCCTGGATGTCATTGTCAGTCCCTCTTATAGAAAACCCTTGTTTATCACGGGAAATGAAGACTTTTTGCTTCGGTTATTATTATTATACTACTACTTTGTACATGCACACGCAGACTACGCAAGAGATATACCAAAGGAAGTAATGTTTTTAACAGCTTGAGCCTCTTGTGGAATTGTGTGTTGGTCCCTACATGGGAGCTCGCGGTTTTCCTGCCGACTTGAATTCTTCGCCATCATTAAATTTTTATGGGTCGTCATACCGTTTGAATGTGCGAAGTAAAATAAAAACCAACCAACCACCAAATCTAACTTGATTGACTCACGACTGCCATCCAGAGCACACGAGAAGTCCATCGAACCGTCCACTTGGCAAACCTGCAAGAAAGCACCACTCCCTGCTCAATACACAGTTTTTTGGGGAATTCACCCCTCATCAGTTAAGCTTGAGCAGGCTGAGGAAGATTGTGCCTGAAGAGCACCACTTATACTAAGTAAGTTATAGTGCTCTCCAGGCACAATCTTCCTCAGCCTGCTCAAGCTGATGTCATGAGGGGTGAATTCCCCAAAACATCACCAGGGATACAAACTACATACAGAGACGCTCCGTTTCCAGCGCGACAAACACCTCGTGAACACCAGATACATGTAGCAGCGTTAGTCAGTGTCGCTCATGGAGCCATGGAGGTGCTGAACAAGCGCTGAGGACCATTGGCCCTCTCACAACGCTGACTCACGCTGCTATGTAGACAATCATAGAGTTCTGGCAGGACTTTATGGCTGAATCAAGGCCGAGTGCATACGGCCAAGGGCGCAGGCCAAGGCGCGTAGCGCCGAGGCCTGCGCCCGCGGCCGTGCGCACGAGGCCTTGATGAAGGCGGAAAGTCCTGCCAGAACTCTATGATCGTGTTTCAGGTTTCCACTTACATCCTTTGTCTTTGAGCCGCGTAGACGGTATAACTATAAGCGCGATACCACATACTGACATAGGGTGGACGTTGGGTACGTGGTGGCTAGACCTGTTGCCTTTTTCTTTGCTCAATGCTCAAGAACAAGTAGGTTGGTCGGGGACGTGGTGGCTACACTATCACTCCTTTGCTGACACGCGATGATCTTATCAGTTTTCGCTTACATCAGTACATGAAGGCCTCGTGCGTAGATCTCCTGTGCTACGCGCCTTGGCCAGCGCCCGGGACTTGGGCCTGCCTGGCCGTACGCTCATCGGAGTCATGGTCATGATTGTTTTCACTGGCATTCTTTGAAACTGTATATAAGCGCGACACCACCTAGGGGTGGAGGTCGGGGACGTGGTGGACGAATCTCTTGCCATTTTTTTAGAAGAAGTAGTTGCAGAATTGCCAAAGCTCATGCGTACGGCCGCGGGCGCAGGCCTCGGCGCTACGCGCCTTGGCCTGCGCCCTTGGCCTGCGCCCTTGGCCTTGATTCATGGTCAGGTTTCACTTGCGAACTGTATAAGCTCTTGCCATTTTTTTAGAAGAAGTAGTTGCAGAATTGCCAAAGCTCATGCGTACGGCCGCGGGCGCAGGCCTCGGCGCTACGCGCCTTGGCCTGCGCCCTTGGCCTTGATTCATGGTCAGGTTTCACTTGCGAACTGTATATAAGCGC